ATGTAGTCACGCGTTTGCAGTTAGTAGAGACAATGGTCGCCCTTATGATACTTGAAAAAGGTAATGCTAATATTTTTTATTAGTTTTAAAATTTTTAATAATAATATTTTTACTAACAATAATTATTATTTTTACAGGTGGTACATTTGTTCTGAAAATGTTTACCATGTTTGAATGTAATACATTATGTCGAATGTATTTGTTGTGTTGTGCTTTTGACTCGGTACAGATAAAAAAACCGTTAACAAGTAAACAAGGAAATTCTGAGATTTATGTTGTTTGTCGAGGTTTTAAGGGATTTCAATGCGTAGAACCTTTGATACATAAATTTTTCTCAACTTCTAATCGCAGTAAGTTTTGTTAAATATTAAATTATTCAATTATTATTTAATTATATTCTATAACAATTGTTTTATAATTTTAGCACTGTCTTATAACTGTTTGTTTCCATTGAACGATTTGCCAAAAGATTTCTTATCATCCGTATATAAGTGTTCCAAATATTTTAGTGAATTGCAAATGCAAATTATAGAGAATAACATAAAATGGTTTTTCCAAAAAACTGAAAATGATATTAAATCATTAACAGAATTACAGTATTGTGTCGCTAACACATATGTCAATAGATTTCAAATAAAACCAATTGACCCTTCTCAGGAAATTGTTGGACAAAATAAACTTAGAGTATGATTTATAGTATTTAATTTTTTTTTTTGTTAACTTTCATTGATATTTTACCTATTGTGCATTAATCTTTTTGAAGATAAATTTCAAAATAAATAAATATTTTATTTTAATTTATCATTCAAACATTTAAAAATTAAATTGTGATTAACACAAAATTATTTATTATTGAATAGGCCATTCAGTTTGATCTACCGAAAGTTTCAACAACGAAGACAGACATGAATTGTTCATTTGCCGAAAAAATGCGTCAAGTGGAATACCTAGAATTAGATGAAGCTAAATTACTTCAAGATCAAGTGAATAGTTATAAGCAAACTCCATGGAAGTATGATGATGAAGTTTCGTGGTTTACCGCAGAGGTTAGTAGAATTATAAAACTTAAATTTAAATTTCATATAATTAATATACTATATAATTACATAATTTATATAATATTCGTATTGTTTAAAACTAAATGATAATTTGTTATTTTGTTTTATTTATAGGATGCCAAAATTGATTTGTTTAGTTTGAAAATGCAAATGGGTAAGCCTGTTTCTATAATTCGTAGCTCAAAATTTTGTGCAAATGAACTTATTGATTACAACAATCGAGCAAGATCATTATTTGCTGTTCCAACAGAAGACTCTATAAATCGTAGAGAGTAAGTTATTAATTTTTTAATCTATGTTAATGAAATTATATTTCAACTTAATAATAAGTATAAATTTAATATTAACATATTATTAACATATTATATATATTAATATTAACTAATTAATATTTAATTTTGTTTCTTTTATGCATTACAGATATTTTCGGCTTCAAATTCCAAAACAAGCGGTCCATGGTCGATTGATTGTTTGTGATGTAACATCGATTTATGCCAATGATTGTATAAACAATAGTAGAAAACAGCTTGACTCTATGAGTTTAATTTTAGAATCATTGAAAAAACTTAAAGCTTTTGACAGTTTTTTGTTAATTGGATATCCATTACTTTCTCAAGTTAATGTTGGTGTTTTCTATGTGCTTGTTAATATGTTTCTTAAGGTATTTACAATTTTTGAACTAGAACTTTTAAATTATCTATTGCTATTTTTCAATGTACTTTGTATTAAATTTTAATTTTAATTTTCTTTCAGACTGGAATGATCAAACCTGTTGAAATGGGTCATGCTTTTGTGTTTTGTTCAAAAATTAATGGTAAAAGTACAGATGACTTAATGTCCATGTTGTATAATGTAAAAGAACATATCAAGGATCTTAATATTACAGAAATTATGGAAAAGCAAGGCCAATCCTTACTTTCCTTCCTTCCGATCGATAAACTTATGTGTAAGTTTTTATTTTTTATTTTGGATAAAACTAATTTATTGAACATTTTTTTTATTATTTTAAAGCTATAACTTAAGTGTTAATTTATGTTTCAGATGAATCAATTTATAAAGACATTGTTGCTGTTAATTGTTTGATTATTATCAATGACGTGAAAAAAACTATTTCTTCTTACTTGCAACAAAATGGACTATGATTATTGTTTTTTTGATTTTTTTTTTTTTTGTTAACAAAATGTTTATTTTTTACTTTTTTTTTTTTTTTTATTGTTTTTTGAAATTCATATTTTATTTATTTTATTAATTATTATTGTTCCATTTGTAAAAATTTATACTTATTCAAATTTATACTTTTTATTGTGTTAAACTCTTTTGAAAAAAAAATATATTGTTAAAGATTGAAATTATTACTTTATGTATAAACAATTTATATATATATATATATATCATTTTGTTATTTCTTTTTTTGATAATATTTTTAAATTGTTTGTCAAATTTCTATACATTTTACGGTCTTTTTTTTTTATGTTAAGTGATTATAATGTGACGTACCATAATAACTTTTTTATAAATCTGTTACTATTTGTTTTGTTAAATATAACATATTCATATGAATGCATAAAACTATTTTATACGACTATATATTGTGATATATTTCGCTAACCGACCGCGCGTTCTCCGTTGCGCGTTAGTACTATGTTAGTTGTAATATTAGTTAGTAATTTTATGTAAATAAATACACGTGTAAGACCCGCGAGCTTCGATCCGCCAACATAACCACATATATTATTTCGTAACAACTTAAATGCAATAAACTTAAACTTAAACGGATTTAGGTTATCGGTTCCCAATCTGAGGTACGTGATATGATCACAAGGGATACATGAAAAAAATTGAGTAATGACAAAAAAAAAATTAAGTTTTATTTAAATCGATTTATATCGGAAATATGCTATATACGAGTATATCATTAAAAATTAAACAGCAGTAAATAACCATTAACTTATAGGTCATATAGAAATAAAGTATAGAATGTAGATTGTAGAATACTATACAGATAATATTAAGTATAGTTATAAATTGAACGCAGCTTCAGATTTAAAATTTGAACCTGATTATAAAAAATTATTAATTTCGAAATAACCCCAGAGGTCTTTCTACATTTTTAAATTACGATTCTATTATTTATTATATAAAAGAAAAATAATTAATATCTTTTTAGTGTGTCTTATTATGTAATATAATATACATTATTACATTATATTATTGTTATTTTTGTGTTTAAGCATTTTTAGAGTAGTTTTGTGAAAAAAGGTTAAGAGGTATAATAAGGGTTACAATCTAGCAAAATTTTAAGCTTAAGAGTACAGAAGAAAAAAAGGTTGAAAACCGCTGATATAATAAAAGCTTGACATTTATATGAGATCATTGTTTTCAATATTAAATAAACAGAATTTACGGTTTATCTATGAGATGGTAAATCTTTATTCCTGCGTCATTACATTTAATAAGCATTGCATAGCCAGAGGTGTTTTACTTCAAAAAAGGTACTTCCACTCAGCGGTGTAGTGGAGGGTACACGGGGGTACACGACGTGTACCTACTTCCATTTTTTCAAAATATGCGTATACCCAATAAAAAAAACCAAGTTCGTGGGTTCACGGTCGTGTACATGCGTATAACCAATCTTTAGTTTCTTTATTTATTTTAAAAATATATTAACATTTGTCAATTTACAATTTTACAATGGTATTTCATGATAATTATATTGTATTATCTTCGTTAATTCGTCATATATTCATAGGCGGAAATCCATTGAAAAAGTTGGGGGGCTACGATTTTTCTCATAAATCATATTACATTTATTTTAATTTAAAATATTGAAATAAAATTTAACTAAATAAAATTTAAAAACTTCGTGTTTTGCTGTCCTATTATTAAATTATATTATTACGTTTACATATTATCATAAGTAATCAGTGGTTTAAGTGGGGAAAATGTTATGGGGGGACTATATTCATCAAAAATTGAAGAGTTCCCCTTCCTAATTTTAAATCTTACCAACCTATTTTAGGAAACCCATGAGGTCTAAGTCTCTTTTGTTACACATATATTTTCATTAAAATTTTATTTTCATAGGGTGTAAAAATAAATTTCCCCAAAAAAAAAATAATTCTATACATATGCCTGATAAAAAAAAAATAAATTGAAATACATAATAGGTAATTTTTAAAAAAGTTTACTTAAACTAAATAGAAACAATTTACTAATCTGGCTTAGTTATTGGTCGACGTAGACAGTAACAAATACGTTCATTGCACATATGGTGTATACTGTTTATATTAAAAGATAGTGTCTATCCTCTATCATAATTTAATATTTATACTATTTATAGTTATTCTATTCTGTTTATATTTATTCTAAATAATAGTCTATATCACCATCACTTTAATTTTAAAGCTACGGGTAATAACCGCTCGGTGATCATCTATAATTAGACACAGCGTCTATTAAACCCATGGTGTGCATTATCTACCATTTTTTCTTATCGTTATACCTAAATATTATTTCTCCGAAATTTTTTCCACTTGTTCAAATAAATCAAGAAAATAAATTATTGTAATATTATAATAAGTATTGTATATTCAATATTGTATTTTAATGACCAATGCCATTAAGCGTCCACCCGGACTTTTGACGACTTAAATTAAAGAGGACGCATATACTTATCTTAAATAAGAAGGGAGACTCCGTTCCCCACCACTTTAACCACTGTATGTAATAAGTAACATATTTTTAATAACATTTTATGTATTTTTTGTAATAGCCATTACAACTACAAATCAAGTGAGATATAATTTTGTCCCATTTAAACACATTTTGGCCCACTGTGCGCCGGTTCGAAATATACCGTACGCATTTAGGATTTTGTTTATACGGCATACGCGACAAAATAAATTCGTAGTGTGGCGGTCCCACATTCATAGCGCGACGACGATCATCGGTGCGCGTGCCAGACGACACGTTTCGTTCGGTCCGTGGGTTGTGCTCGCCGCGGAACTGATTAAAATTCGTTATCCCGTGGGCTTCGATTCGGTTTTCTAAAAATAACACCCGCGCGCGCGTGTTTTCCCGAGTCCGTATCTCATCCATCGGGATTTTCGCCACGGACCCACCAGTCGATTTCCAAAGTTAATCTTCAACGGAATAGATGTTAAATTTAATACCCATTCCGTGGTGAACACAACGTTCTGTACGGAAAAAAAAAAAAATGACATAACGATAATACCGATATCGATATGTCCAAGTTGTTTGATATCGATTTATTTTTATTTTATGATATTTTAATTTTGAAAATGAAATATCACGTGACAACGATGCTGCGGAAGATTTTTTTTTTTTTAATTCAACACACTAACGAACAACGCAATATACTTTTATTTAACAAATTTTACCATTAGATTGCACCGTTATCTTGAGTTCGCTATTGTTTCATTGTTCGTGAATTACAATATTTCTAATCGGCCGATGAAAAAAATATCAACGTCTTTTCCGTTGTGTGCGTCGGCGACTGACGTGTGTACAACAAGAAATGGAAATCTAATCGGATGGCAATGCCCATACGGTGGACTGTAGACTTTTGGAATTTGTTTTCCCCGAATGACTATTAGAAGCGATACATTTTCCCGCAGTTATTTTTTTTAATAATTAAATCGATGATTCGATTTTCGTAGTAGTTTTGAAACAACCGGGCCAGAAATAAAAAAAAAATGGTGATATATATGAATATTATCATGTTTTAAATATGGAATTCTATCGATTATTAATGCAAAATAATCGATATCTGATAATGTCGATATATCGAGCCTATTCACCGGTCCAACTGATAACGCTGATATTGCATTCGTTGTATTCTTGTCATGCTGTCGTTGAACTGCTCCTTAGGGTTCTCTCGATCGTCTCTCCTGTGAAAATATCAATTAGACATTGTCGACCGACGATGGATGTGCCGCCGTCGAATCCTGATCCTTTGCACAACAAGGTGGAAACCATGAACGCGGCGGAGCCGATGGTCAACAGCCGTGACCGGCGTATGTACCCGAATCCGATTATTCAGGGACGAAACTTCCAGCAGCAGCAGCAGCAACCTCAGTCCGACGAGTCCCAAGTCAGCTGCGTCGTCTATGACATGTCCACTGAGAAGGGACGACGGTTTAAAGAGTACAGAAGGTCGAAAAAGAGATCGCTGAATGTAGACGAGATGGCAGCCAAAATCAATGTAAGTTGTTAACAGCGCATCGCACATGTATAATCCGTCGATAAATCGGTAACAGGTTTTAAATTTAAGGGTTTTACATTAGTTATTAATGGTTATAAAACTTATTGATTATTCATTTATGTAACCTGTTGAAATATGAGTTAAACTATATGCTATATACCTAATAACTTAGACCGTCTTTCACAAACATATTTTTGAGGGTTTTTTTTTTTTAACTGTTTAAAATATTCACTTTGTCAAGAGTTTTATTCGTAAATCGTTAAAAAAATGGCTGGGATTTTGATGTAAATCCATCTTTTTTTCTAATGTCCCAACACATCGGTCCGTAATAAAAAAATGTGTTAATCAAGTGATACTGATTAATTTAAATTAATCAAGTTTTTATTTTGCATTTTATGACAAATAATTTGTTAAGATATTTAGTTCAACGCTCAAAACTTGCACGTTTAGCATATAATCTATTAAATATATAAATTAATGAATATGAGCATATCGACCTATGTATCTGTTTTATCAAAAATAAAACAAAATTAATATACTCGAAACAATTTTTTTCTATTTACAATAGTCCAACAACAATCATAATAGCAAGTTATGAAATAAATTAAATTTAAATAAAGTTAAATAAAATGTAAATATTAAACAAATAAGTAACTATTTCGTTATTATTATTATGTAAAATAAATATAATTAAATATGATTGGTAATATGATTTTTTTAATATAATTTTGAAACTATTTTTAATACATTTTTTTACACACTTTTCATGATTTTTAATCCACCTATCATAAAATTTAGGTATAACTAATAAATCATTTTTAATAAAATAAAAATAATTAAATAATTAATACTTGTAAATTGTATACATTGTATATTAAATAATTTTTATTGGTTTTTTTCAGAGTTTAAAATTAAACACCGAGAAATCTCCAGTCACAAAACTTAATGAATTTATGAATTTATGTAAAATAAAAATAGATTTTGAATTAGTTTCTGTAGATGGTCATGTCCATTCTCCAGTATTTACAATATGTGCAAAATGTGATACCATAGTTGGTAAGTTAATATTTATCATATTAACTATGCTTATAAGTAATTGGAATGAATTATTTTAGTTTTTGGCCAAGGTGCATCAAAAAAAGAAGCCAAAAAAAATGCTGCAATTGCTTTTTTGAATAAATTAGATTATAGTCAAAGTCACAATATTATAACATCTACTACTTCAAACCATTCACCTGCTTCATCGAAGTAAGTGTACTATAAAAAAAAGTTTTTAAATTATTTATTGTTCATAATTATATATATATTTTTTTTTTTTTTAGTATAAACCATTCTGAAAAAGTTTTAGAATCAATAACAAATTTAAACCCTATTGGTGTACTGCAAGAATTTTGCATAGCTCATAATTGGGAACTGCCTTGCTATAAACTCGAAGAATCCCATAGACCAAAACATTCTCAGTACTTAATGATATGTACTCTGAAGATTTATTCAACAAAAGGTTAGCATAAGTAAATATTCAATATTTTTGAGGTTGACTAATTTTAAATAATTTATTAAATTAAATCTTTTTAGATATTATTGGTTTTGTGTAAACTATAATTAATTCTCAGATTGTAATGAAAATAACTAAGTTTTAATTTAATTCAATATTAACATAATTTTTACACAAATAATAATAGCATTAGTAAACTATATGACCTATTGCTACAATGTTTTAATGTGATACTATTAAGTGTTTTATAGTTTTAAGATTTGTAAATTATTATTTTAAGAGTGAGCATACATAAACAGCTGAAAAATATATAATATACTTATAAATCCTCAAAAAAATGTTATCATTTAATTTTAAACATGTTCCAAACTCTTTAAAATCATTGATAATGGTCTTGTAACATACTTTATAGCTTTATTATACCTAGAGGTCTGATTATTATTCTCTTAAAATCCTTAAAATATGATGTTCTATGTTGTTTTAAAAGGCAAAATATTCTCTAAAAATACCAAATTTATAATTCTTTATGTCTTTAAAAATACAAATATTCTTTCAATATTCTGTAAAAAAAAAAAAATATTTTAATTACTTGACTTTAATTAATCAATTACTAAATGTTATTATTAATTTAATTTACAATAACTTTTTTTTACGACTTCAGTACAAATTTTAACCGTATGTGGATTACCCCCGATATCTAGTGATTAATTTTTATAACTACTTAGAAGGATATAAAAATAACTCTTATTACGAATATTGTATTTTTTAATCAATATTATCAAAATGCCGATGTATGTAAAACGTGAATGAATGTACAGACAAATAAAAGGTAATATAAATTATTTTCTTAAAAAAAAAAAATATTTACAGAAATAAAACCTTCAAAACTTAAAATATTTATAAAATATTCTCAAATAATCTCTAACACAGTGAATATTCCCTAACCCCTAAAATATGATTTTATGCAAAATAAATTTTTTTCTGTGAATTCTGTATTTCATGAATCGTAAAGATATCTCACTCCTATTTAACTGCATAGAATAGAAATAAATATGTAAAATCATATAAATCCAACCTCTAATTATAATATTTGATTTTAGAGTAAAAATAAATGTGATGAATACTAGTTATCAAAAAAAAGTTTTAATGGATATTGTATTGGATTTTAATCATAATTTTATTTATTATTTATTTAACAATTGATTTTTTTTTAATGTATAACTGTTTTCAATTAGTATTCAATGATTACCATTATTACTTATTATGTTTAAAATTCAAATACTAAAATGATAGTCTTGGCATTCTGTAGCTATTACTAAATATTATGGGAAGCAAGAGTTCTTCTCTATTTTTTTCCATGTATAACTATGTTAAATTAAATATATAATTGTGACAAATTTGGTGGTCCACATCGAAGTTTAGCACAATTTTTTATTTTAAATTCTGTTAATATAATTGATACATTACATGTTTTTTATATATATGGTCAATATTGAAATGTAATAAATAAAATTATGTTTTTATAATAATTAAAAATTAAATGTATTGTGTTTATACTACAGTATAATCATGCCCAACATATTTATCAATTCATTTATTTATAAAACAAAAGTTTAATAAAATACATATGTTTGTTAATTACTTAATATTATATTTAATTAATTTAAATAAAATTAATTCATTGTTATATTTCAATTTTATTATTATTTTTATTATAAAATATAATTCATCAAACTTATAAATGTTGCATTTTATTACAAGTTGACTACTCTCAGCTTACTCATTAAACATTTAAATATATAGTAGATTAGATATTAAGCTTAAAAATATTACAAGGGTTACATACAAAACTAACTAATACCAAAATAACTTATGATCCAAATTAGTAAATTATTGCATGATTTTGAATAATATAAAAATTATAATATATATTTAATTATTAAATTATTGAAATAATATTTTTTTAATAGGTGAAGGGAAAACCAAACAAATGGCTAAAAGGAAAGCAGCTTGTCATATGTATGATTTAATTAAAAATTTGTCATCCAAAGAAATATCTGCTTTTAACAACTATACATTTAATGATAAAATGAATAACAATGAACTTTTAAATAATAATCTCAAAGAACAAAATGTTACAAATTTTTGTGATACTCTTCAGTTCCTCAGGGTATTCTTTGAAGAGTTAAAATCATCCAAAAATATTTCAATAAATATACTTAAGGTAATGCTTAAGTAATGCTATTTATTTATATAAAAACTACTAATATTTTATTTTTACACAGGAATTACAGTACATAGATAAATCGATGATGAATGTTGTTGAATTTTTGGAAAATATTGGACAAGAAGAAGGTTTTAAGGTTACATATGTTCTGATTTCAACTAAATCCAGTAAGAAATTGTTATCTATAAAAAATAAATCTTATTTATCAATACTTTTTTGTAACAGGTGATGTAGAAGTTTTGGTGCAACTAGTTATTAACCCTCTTGTGGTAAATGTAGGCATAGGGAAAACATTTGAGGAGGCTCAGGAAGTAGCTGCCTTTACAACTTTGATGTATTTAAAACTTTTGTTAGCAGATTGAATATGAAAGAAAATAAGTATTATCTAGTGATTTATTTAATCGATTACTATTATGCATAATGATAAATCAATTTCGTTAAATTTACAAATTAATTTATTGTTGTTTAATGATTAGAAATTTATAATTTATTTACAATGTTCCTCTTTACTATGTAATTTTTTCTGGGTCATATAAAAATTTAAAAAAATTAAATAAACTTTTACCTGAAACAAAATTGGTAGCTTAATATTTATTTGTATATCAATCAAATTGTGAAAATGTTAAGCCATTTATTTAATTAATAATTATTAAGCATTAAATATTAAAATATTATTTATTTTTGAATAATAGACCTAATAACTATACTTTGCGTGTTCCATGTTTACTTATTCTAGTTATTATTAGTTTTTGTTATTATTTTCATTGGTTATAAATATATTTTTATGTATATCAATGGTAGTATCCAATTTTATTTTGGTAGAATGCAAGGCCGTGGAGAGAAGTCTAGGGACCCAGTAACAAATTAATCCAGGCCCTTCTCATATGAGGTATTAAACTTGCCATTGACATCCAGTATTTTCTTTTAAAATGTGTATCCCAAAGAGATAATGTAATGGCAGTCATGGTTATTCCACAAACAAAATGAAAATAATTATTTATAGCCAACGGATCTTTCTTGAAAATGTTATTTGTCTACATTTTAGGTCAATATAGCAGTGTTCACTTTATTGTAGACTTGTTATAACTATACAGCCAGGGCCGAAGCTAAGTATTTTGCAGCCACATGGAAATAAAATAATGCCGCACTTTTCGATAAATGGTTGCCCCATAATTAGTACATACTTATTAGGGTGGCCCTTATATTGTAATAGGGGGTAAGGAAAGTTAAATATTTTTGATTCCTCACCCACCCAATTCTTTATTACCATACGAAAGTTATGTGGGTTAAATTTGGTGATGATTAATAACCCCCTTAATAATTAATAACTAAGAGGGTTGAATATTAATAAATAGGGTAGTAGTTTTAGGCTTATTCTGATTTAATTCATTATATATGGCATTTAGCATAAAATTGTAGATTCAGGTACTCCATAAAAAACATTCAGAAATTTCTCGGAAATCTATTATTTTATGTGAAAATTAGAATAAAATAAAATTTTTTTACCTTTTTCTGAAAAAAAAATTGAAATCGACATGGTCTGTTATAAATCGAGAGTATACAGAACAATATGTAACTCCTATAGTTTCTGAACCCTACTTATAATATATATACTTATAATATACTTATAATATATATAATATTGTATAACAATTGTAATATTGTATTACAGCGACGCGCAGTCATTCTCGCGTTACGTGCAAGTTCTGTTCAAAAAATATTAAATATTCCAAGATTTTGTTTTAACCTAAATCATTTAATGTCTATCGTCTATGTACATATATATAAAAAATAAATTATACGAAAAATTAATTCAAAATATTACCTAATAGGTACCTATTTATTTTTTTATTTTTCTGAAAATTACAAGTGAGGCACCGCCTAACTTGCCTTACTCCCAATACCGCCATTGCGGTAATGGACAATGGTCCACAACTAAGCTAAATATTATAACAAACAAATTCATTATTAGAATATAATCAGACCATTTGTCTATGGCTATATGTCCATCATTCAAATCAACTAAAAGACTGATACGTAGTACCACTGTCCACTACTCACTTGTATCATTGCATAGGCATGCGCAGACTTTATTCGCAGGTTATGCAATAAGAAATATAGGGCCCCTCATAAATAAATTTTCTAATCTGCCCTTAATTTATTTGCATTTTTTTTTAACGCATATAAGATTCAAGTCACAATCTAAGTTTTTGCATATATACTACTTAGCTTCTTTACTTCCCTTAGAATCTAAAATCACACATAGTTTTACAGTAGAATATTAAACAATGCACTGTAGAAATAAGTAGTTTGAAATTTGATTTATATTTATTAAAAAATAATTTATTATTTATTTAAGATCAAGTATGTACTATATTGAATGCTTTTGAATAATTTTAACATATTTATAATGTTGTTATTTTATGGAGAGTACTTAAAATCTAAAGTTCAAGTCTTCTTTTTATCGGCACACATGTTTTGAATTCATCTATTACATCTTCAATATTGATTTCTGATGCCATCTTTTGCTCGATAAATATTAACATCAGTGAATCAAGACGTTCTTGTAACATAGTATTTCTAAATTTAGACTTTACAATAGACAATTTGGAAATGTCCCTCTCACACGAGCAGCTTGTCACAGATATTGTTGCAAATTGTGTTAAAGCTTTATTGAAGTTTGAAAATATTGTTTTCCGGTCGTTTTCTGATAACCAATTCAGCCATACTAAAATTGTTTTAGTTGATGACCCTCTAATAGAAGTTCTATCAAACATATTTGTAATGAGCTTAATTTCACACTCAAATGTAGTATTCAAATTAAATTTTTCCTTCAACATTGAAATATCATTACTATCAAGCTTTAATTGATTTAAATTTCCTGTGGCGGTAATTAAATTTAAAGTTTCTTAACTTAATAATAAATATGGGCCCCTCGCATGAAGCCGCAGACCATGCAGCGGCATACCTTGCATACCCCGTGCGCACGCCTATGTATCATTGTGTATATTTACTTGCTTATTCATTTCATAATATAATACCTTTTCGATTTCTGTTGAGATTAGACTCCGTGAGTCGGACTGTGACGACTGCTGTCCGTTATCCACGACGTCGTTAATTTCTGTTTTAATTTATTTTTTTTGTGTTATGTTAAAAAAATTAGTTATCTTCGAGGTTCTTTTATTTTGTTGCATATTTATAAATTCGGTTGTCGATTTATACAAATATTAAAATATATGCACAAGTAGATAATTAAGTTATAAATAAGACATTGACAAGTTAAATAATACGTTATTGACATCTACTAGACCTAAGATCGTACTAAGGCGTTGTATTGCCTATCGGAAATAAAACAGCAACTGAGCAACATATGTGGTATCGAAGTATTGTCCGAACGGTTCTAGAGAAACGGTCTAGCCTAGACACTGCTTTATCGATTTTATCTTTTGCTATTTATATCAAAATGGGTATCACAAAACAATCCGTATTTAAGATTTACTAATTTTGTTTTGGTTTTTATATCAAATCATTATTTAATTATACATTATATAGTATAATACGAGTACTGTATAGCAGCGATTCCCGAAGTGTATTTCATGGGACAATCTTAATGTGTTCCGCAAGGTGTACATGAACATTGAGAACGGTAATTGTAGTAAATAATAATCATGAACTATCTTTAAAACATTTTTTGGAGTATAGGTTTTACAATAAATAAATAAAAAATTGGGGTTAAGTTGGAGTTAGAGACGTTGTAGTTCAGCGAAAAAAAAAATATTTCCAAAGGGTTCCGTGGTCGTAAAGGATTGGGAACTGCTTCTGTATAGTATTGTGTTATACTATTATATGTATTACATGGACCAAGGGGAGGCCCTTTGCCCCCCCCCTAAATACGCCACTGTACATAGGTACTTATAACGTATAAATAGTGAATATTTTAAAAAATTGTTCACTAGGTGACAGAAAAAAAAATGTTCACGCATTTAAACAAAATTGTTAAAATCAACATCAACAATATAGTGAACTTATAGAATAAAAAAAAAAAAAATGTCTGTTTAATATTCAAATCTTAGGAACTCTAATAATACGATCAAAACTTTTAATATAAACAGTGTTTGGAATGTTCAGTTAAAAATTGAACTCGTCACGATCACGGTCAGTGCATAAAAAAGGAACTCGTTCACGTTCATGTAAATTTTTTTAAAGCGTAATGATCGCGTTCAAATTTTTCAAAAGACCTTCGAAAACTAAGTATTAAGAACAAAATTTGGACCCGTATATAATGATGTAGCCAATTGCTAGTGTAGAATGAATAATAGAAAGATAATGGAAAGTACAAATATACCTGTGATAACAAGTTACATAAATAGACAAAAGCTAAAATAGTTCGGTCGTGTTAAATGGAAAGAAGCGACAAGTGAAGCTAGACCGACTATGGATTGGTAACTAGAAAGGAAGAGACCAAGGGGAGACCAAAAAAACGCTGGATATATGGCATAAAACAAGACCTAGAGAGACTAGATATTACAAATTGGAAAGAATTGATTAAGGGTCGTGGAAGTTGGAGAGCTTTGACAGAGGCGGAGAAAACTCTTAGAGTCATAAACCATATGAGTATGATGATGAAATAAATTTGAACGTCCTAAAAATTGTTCAAATTCATTAAAAATATAAACATTATTCATATTCACGTTCAACGTGAAAATGCGAGTAACGTACGTATATTGCTTACAAAATACAAATGTGAACACGTGAACATTATGTTTCAACTTCAAACCATCGAAGGAAATTATTAACAAGTTACAAAATCAAGCATAATGAAAATAAAAATTTACTATAATTTTTACCAAAACAATGTTGTTGTCCAGTTATTATTTTCTAGGCAACAAAAAATATTAGCTGGTCGACATTTATGTAAAAGTAAAAAAAACGCCAAGCTCAAAATTAGATCTTATATTCTTGCAACAAAAAAAAAACCCATATAAAAAATGCACCGATATCAACATTATCCAAGGTTTTAATTTACGAGGTACTTCAACTATTTTCCTAAACTTCTCATGTTTCTCCTTACTTATAAATATTATCTTTGTACCGGTTTTGTTTCAATATCAAATACTTGGCGGCTGATTTTAATATTGATGTCCGCCTAATATGTGCATTTTAAACAATTACATGAATATATCAACCGCCAAGTATTGGATATTGAAACAAAAACCGGTACAAAGATAATATTTATAAGTAAGGAGAAACATGAGAAGGAAAATGGTTGAAGTATCTCGTAAATTAAAACCTTGGATAATGTTGATATCAGTGCATTTTTTGAACAGGTTTTTTTTCGTTGCAAGAACTAAAGCTGGGCATTAACAAGTTAAAAATTAAAATTAAGTTAAAACGTTACGTTAATATTAACTAAGTTAAGTAACTCGTTACTTTTTTTTTGAAACTAACTTTTAACTTAATAAGTTAAATTTTAAACATATTTAACTTCATTTTAA